GAGTTCTCCAGCGGCCGAGGGCGGCTGAAGCAGGCGCGGCTGGCGGGGGACCGGCGGGACCTGTACCCTCACAGCCTGCAGTTCTACCTGGAGCCCCCCACGGAAAACATCTCCCTGGTGGAGTTTGAGAGCTTTGCCATCGACCGCCTGAAGCGTGAGTAGCGTCCCCGGCCGTCCCCGCCTGGAAGCTTTTGATTCTTCCTGTCATGGCTCTATGTATTTTGCGGGCTTAGGTGCTCTCTTTGCCGGTTATTAATATGAACTGGCTGCCTGCTCGTGCTGAAATGAACCCCCTTTAAAGGAAAACGTGTTGCTTTAGGTATTTCAGAGAGCTGTGACTGATTTCACAACGAGCGTTTGGTGTCTAGCAGTCAGGACTGTATCGTTTTGGTTTACACTGGTGGTTTTTATGTTTCACTTTCTAGGTGTTGTGACATATTTGATGTCTCTCAGTACAGCGATCATTGTAGCTGGGGGAAGGAGTTCCCCTAAACTACTGAAAACCACTGAATCCAAGGTTTTCGTCATTACAGTGGAAACCAATGTTCTGAGACTGATCCATCAGAGTTAGCTGTCTCCCTTTCCTTGTTGACTGTGTGGATCCCAGAGTTGGGCTAACTGTTCGGGACTTGTGGGCCACACCTCATCCTCCATATTTCTTACCCCTTTGCTGCCCATACCACTAAAAGCAATTCCTGTGGCCTTACCCCAGTTTGTGTATTACCCAAGACGTGATACAGTAAGATTTCTTTTCAATATGTTGTCTCTAACACGGAGTTTTTCTTTTTTTTCCCCAGTGCTCAAAGTAGTTGAAAACCTTGGTGTGAGCTATGTAAGAAATAGTGATTCATACAAAACTAAGCTGGAGTTTGAGCTCCGGAAACTTAAGTTTCCCTACAAAGTAAGTAAAAATCAAAAAAGGGAACTCTCTTGCACTTTATTTTCTTTACACCATTCAAGAATTCTGAATAAAAGTAGAGGTGATAAAATACTATTCCTAAAACTTAAGTTCTGTCATTTTGTCAGAGATGTAGTTTTTCTTTGAGAGTCTAGGTTTCTTTCTTTAGGGCAACCCCCTTCTTTAGTAGTCTTGCATTTATTGTCTTAAAGATGAGTATTAATACACCGTTGAACAGCAATGATAAATTAATTGTGGATTTTTAATCTGGGAGAGATTATTTCTCTGAAATAATATGTTCTGTAGGCTTTGGCTGAGGATGCTGCGAGAGATTATTTCTCGGAAATAATAATAATAATATGTTCTGTAGGCTTTGGCTGAGGATGATTATGAAGCAAGAAGAAAAGACCATATCTCTCATTTCATACTACGCCTTGCTTACTGTCAGTCGTAAGTACTTTCTGGATTATGCTATACTCATGATTAATTTTAAATGTATACAGGTACTACATTTCCTTATTATAGACATTACAGATATTTTAGAGTTGTGTGGCTACTAAGTAGAGAGGTAGGCTCTCTATTTAGAGGGGTTTTTTGCTAGGAACCTGATTTCAGCTGTGATGAAAAGGGATCCTTGGGACTAAAATTAATATCCAGATTTTGTAATAATTAGAAAAAAAAGTATAAACTTTTGGGTTTTACGCACAGAATGCTGATCTGAGTTTCTTCCTTTTGACATCTTTTTTTGAGATTAAAGCACACCAGTATTAAGTCTTTGTCAGGCATTGGCAGTGATTGATAATTTAGTTTAAATTAACTGCTGCATATGCTTGAACTGTTCATTACTGACCAAAGACCTGACTATGTAAATAGGCTTTATATTATTGTCTAAAAAGAGAGCCTTGTTTCTGGCAAACAAAAAATACCATCTGAGTTTGAGGTTTCATCTACTGATTCTGCTTTTCTTCCAAATTCATTGCCATGGATGGTTACACTGCAATTTTTTTGTCGTGTGAGATCTCAAGCACAAAGTTGGTCCTGTCAAGTACATTCCTTTTGCTTCAGCTGTAGTTTTTTGGATGAAATTATACAGGTTGTCAGTGCTTTATGTCTGTTAGTAGCTTTGTTATGCATCAGGGTGAACTTCTGACTCCTTGCCATTGCAGTCCTTTTCTTGGAATTAAAACTGGCAAATATGAAGTGTGTACTGTTTTGAATTGTTAATTCAATTGCACTTTAAGTTGTGATATAGTTTCTTTAAATTTCGTGAGTGTGGTAGAACACATATTATGATACCATGATAGCTGACATGACTGAAGTGCTGCTATGGATGGATACGGATTCGTAAGCAAAAACAGACTGGGAAGATGAGTAGAAGGGATTGTGCTCTAAGCCAAGATAGGGAACTGGAATGGATGGGGCTTTTCCTTGGAATGGGTCATGAGACAGTTGAGAGTTTTGGGGCAAGTGTTGGAGAAGAGACCAAGGTGGCTAACAACACGACAGGTGCCTGCTACAGATCATCTGATCGGAGTAGCAGAGGCCTCAAAAGCCTCCAGATGGAGGAAACCTCACCATGACAGGCCCTGGGTGACTTTAAACACCCTGAAATCATCTGGATTATTCACATCCCATCATGTTGCCCTTTCAAAAGACATCTGGGCTGTGCTGAAGACAGTTTGTTCATGTATGTGATCGATGAGCCAGCTAGATATGTGATGCATGTACAGTGAGGAACAAGTTGTGATTGTGAAGGTCAATAGCAGCCTTCACTGCAGTGACTCTGATAGTATAGTTTAAAATCCTGAAAGAAGGGAGCAAGTTGAATAACAGAATTACAACTGAAATTCCTACTACCCTTCTCTATTCTACATGTATTAGTTGCGATTATGAATAACAAATGTAATATTGGTTTCTTTCTGGTGCTATGTTTGTTGCACATATTTTTATAAACTCCCTTAGTCATACCGGTCCTACTGATTTTTACAAGAAAATATCTTGCTTTACCTATATTGTAAGTTTCTACCAAAACCCCTTAAAAGGTAGTATCCTTAAGCAGCCTGGGACTAAAAAGCCCCTGAAAACTTAATGTTTCTTATTATGCAGCTAGTGGCATTTTGAATAGTCAGTGTGGTTTCCATTATCCTCTCTTGTAAAACTTTACTTTAAGCATTTAGTATTATTTAGATGGGATCATTGCTTTTCTGTGGGAGATGGGACACTTTGAGGGTGTTGGTAGTGACACACTTGAAGAAAGTTCTGCTGTTCTGGAAGGTAGAATTGTCTGGTGGCAAGAATCTGATCTGGAATTCAAGAGGCATCTATTTTTGGTTGGTGTGTGGCTTCAGGAAAAATGAGTTTGGGTCAGATTCACAGAAGGCAGTACAAGCCATGTAGCAAAAGGCTGAAGGTTAGGTATTTGATTCAGGAGTGGAATTCACTAAGCTTTGTCCACTGCGCTGAGAAGGGAGGAAGGCATATGTGAATAACAGTGGCCAGCATGCTGAGTGAAAGGCTGCCTCAGTCAGAAATAACCAAGCAGGGACTTGGCTAAACATCATCACTGATGTGATATCTCCCCCCACCCCTGCCCTGGGCCCTGCATCTCTATAATGGCTCTGGAATCTCCTGGAATTAATGATAGATGCAGATAATTGGACTGCTTTCTTTTTCTCTGCAAGCTATCTTTTTAAAAGAACATCCTTGTCTTTTGTATGAGAGCTTATTTGGCTGCAGTGCTTGCTTAGGAAATAAATGGGAGATGTTTCAAACCCTGTGTTTCAGCGAGGTGTCTTAAGAATTAGACTATAGCAGGGCAGAGGTGGGAAGCTTGTTGAAGGTGAACCACTGTGCATAAATGAATACAAGCCATTTTGGGCCACAGAATCAGCAGGAAAGAGCCTGGCTTTGTAGTCTAGGGGGAAAGGCCCCTTCTTAGGGAGGAACGGTGTTGGATGGGGCTCCAGGGCACTCTTTAAACTACCTGCAAATGTATTTTTGTGTTCCTGTTTATGTACAGGTGGGATGCAGTGTTTCAATAAAGCAGCTTGATAGTCAGTTTCCACTTAAAGTAGCTTTTTTTTTTTTTCTTTGAAAAGGTGGACTTAGTGATTACTCATAAAATGGGAAATAGCATCTTAAGCACTGTGAGGTGACCCTATACCCAGCATTCTTTATTCTTTCTTGGAAAGCAGCTATTTTAGGGATGAGATATTTCTGTCCTCTAAAATTGACATGTTTCCCAAAAGATAAAATTGAGAGGCAAATAGAATATACTGTTCTCTAAGTTTTTATCATACTAGGTCAGAAAAATAAGCTTGGCACAAATCATTAGGTTAACTGATGAAAGCTATTAAGGTAGGAGTGTTTAAAAAAGCATACTTAAATAAACATAACTGCAAACTAGCTTGAATTCAGTTCCCTGTGGCCTGCCAGGCCGTTGTGTTTACAGGCTTGTTTTCCTGTGACACCACCTTTTTAACTTTCTAGTTGGCCAACAGTGCCACCCAGGGGTACGAGTTTACATCAGCTTTTTTTTCTAGTTTGCATCAGTCCTCACTTATAAATTGGATTGTTTTCGTTTGGTTTTTACATGATCTGAAGTGGCCGGCTCCACCATTCTTGTCAGTTAAATTTGTAACGTAGTCATCATCTCTTGACTGTCCTTGTGCCTTCTGAAATCCAAGACTTTAAAGCTTATTCTCATATAATGTTGCTAAGATACAGTATGTACAGTCTTGAGTGGCCAGTCTCATCCATACCCTTCTTTCACACCTCTTGTAATGTCACTTATATCTGTCAAGACCAGGAAATAGAATAATTTTGTTTTATTCACTTTCATGGCAAACACAGCTCTAAAGAGAATTTTGCTTGCATGTTGGCCATGACCACGCATTTGTGCTTCTGTCTGTTGCATTTCTCTTCACTTTTTCAGATTAGCTATGAAGAATCTTGAAAGTCACAGGAACATAATCTTCACTTTATTTACTTAAGATGGACAAAATAAATCTTGCTTCCGCTTTGACAGCGAAACTCTCTCTCCTATTCAGGAAACTTTCAAACATACTTTTGTGCTGCCTTTTTTTTTTTCCCCCCTATGGCACATAACAAAGACATAAGTTCTTTATCAAACTTAGCAAGGCCTTTTCTTTACTTCCTGCCATTTTTTTTTTCTAGATGATAAATTAGACTTGTGTGCTGAAATTGCTGCCTCTTACATTGACTAGCATTTACTTTTGTGTGCTTTCTGTACCCATGTTCCCCTTGCTGTCTACCTTTTTAAACTTAAACTCTGAGGAATCTTCTGGTGTTGGTTTCCTAGTAAAATAGAGCTCTGGCTCACGCCCAGGCTTTTCACAAGTTAACATTAAGTTGTTGGTAACTGAACTCTCATATATAATTGTGGAATGTGAGCTACTAGCTCCAGATTTAGGAGCATTTTCATGTCTTTCTAAAGTACTTCTATGTTGATGCTTCACAACAAATAATGCTGATGCCGGTCTTTCCTACCATTCCTTGGAGGGTGAAGAGGATTTCCCCCCCGGCCCCCCCCTGCCCGTATTATTTTTCTAGTTGGGAATCTACTGCTCTGATTTAAACTGTTGAGTATTCTGCACACAAAAAAGTTAAGTGGCAAAAAAAGAGGAGATGTTCCTAACGCATACGCTTCAACTACCTGCAACTGTCTCATCTTCAGCAGCAGCTTGGTTAGTTATCTAATGACAGTGACATTGCTTTTCAGTTAAGCTTGTGGTTTTGATAATAAGTATTATTACTAATATGTGTCTGGAATGAGAATGTACAATTTTTTTTGAATGTTAATAGTGACTATAAGATGTGATTTGGGTTTAGAAATGAAATAAAATTTTCCAAAGACATAAGGAAAAAATGAACATAAATAATGCCCTAATGATGATGTTCCCAGGAAAGTCAGTTTTAAAGTATATGCTGGACATATACAGTAACGTAAGCCAGCTCATCAGCTAGTTTGTCAACTGTAGGAAGAATCCAGGTAGGTGTGGGTATTGTATTAGAGATAACTAATATTTTCTTGTTTTGGTAACTTAAGTGGGTAGGTGGGATTACAAATTTTGATCTACTCTTCTGAAGGAAAGGAAGAAAAAGAGACTGGCTGGCCTCCAAAGTAACTATATATGCTGAATTTTTTTTTTTTTCCTTAGGAAAACAAATGCAGTGTAAAGCTGGTGAATTAGGAAAAGAGTAAAATTGTCATGTCCTAGGTTTTTGTTACTGTCCAAGATGATCATAGAAGAACTGCAGAAGATCAGTCATAAAGGCATTAACTTCCATTTTAAGTAGCACAGATTATTAATACATCCCAAGCACTGAAGCTTCTACAGGGTTATACTTTACAAAGCACCTTAACAGAGCCTTTCCACCTGGAATTATAATTTGAATAATAATTACTTTTCTCCAAGCCATATTTCAAGCAGAGGTTTTGTCCACAGAGACACAAACAATTCACTGGTCCCCTCTAGGAAAAGTTGCTTAAATATTGTAAGGAGAACATGTAAGACTGCAGTATTTCTGTGCTCTGTGAATTGTCATGACAGTAGCCCACAGCGTAGCTCTCGGAGGACAGTTTAAAAGAATGCCCTGTAATAGTGAGATGCAGTATCATCTGCATTCTGTGCTTGTACGTACAGGGTGGCTTTTGTTACTAATATTCTGGTACCTTCTTGCTATAGCTTTGAGTAACGTGTTGATGCCTGGGAATCTGAGTGCTGGGATGTTAGCAATCCAGTATGCAAAGAGTAATATGAGTACTTAGAGTACTTAAAGACTGGCTTCAGTGTTGTTTTTCTTTCATGCTTTCTACTGACTCCTGTCCCTGTGTTCTTGTTTATTCTCCTACTTGCTCACCTGCAGTTGCTAAACCCCTTTTGCTCTTTCGTCAAGTGTTAGATGTTCTATTTGTGTTCCTCACTCAGGTTCATTGTCATATATTTTCCTTCTGCCTGCTTCCAGGCTATTTTTTGCCTAGCATAGAGCACTGTTGTTACAGTATCTGAGATGCATGCGTGTTCCTTCAGCCGGAGATACCCCAAAAGTGAGAATTAAAAGAAGTAGACTTCATAATGTATTTGCCTCATCAAATTAATTGTGACATTAGTTGTACAATGAAGAAATATTGTGCCATGTTGAAGAAAAAAAAGCTGTCCTTTAAATACCGAAGGAGAATGTTAGCTGCGGTTGGTTATTCTTATCTAAAATAAGTAAGAAATGGTGAGTACTATTTAAAAGAGAGTAACAGCTTTGATACCTACAGAGCAATTTTTAGTGTTGAGATTGACTACCTCTGTTCTTCCAAAACATCTGCAGTTATGCTTCTTTGTGTATTGTCTCTTCAAAAGTCTTTTCTGATTGAGTGCTCCTTCCTGAAGGCTTCCTACCTTCTCTTCCAAGCTCCTCAGTTTGTGTGTCCCGTGCCAAAGTCAGCACTACATTAAATGCTGTGTTCACTAGGTTTGACATCTAGTTTATAAAGAAAGAGGGAATGCGTAATCAGAAAACGTATTATGGTTTTTTTTATCATTTCTTTGCAGTGAGGATCTCAGGCGTTGGTTTCTTCAACAAGAAATGGATCTCTTGCGATATCGCTTCAATGAAGTGACTGACAATTTAAGGCAGAAATTCCTGGAACACGTTAACTTATCTTTTGAAGCTGTAAGTATGTTACTTTCTGGATTTGTGTTATATAGCATGTACCTGATGTTTTTTTTAAAGTTCTCATGAAGATAGTTTTAGTACTTCTGTTTAAAAAATAAGAAGTGCCCTTGTGGCTTTAAAAAACAACCACACAGAACTTTTGAACTTGGAGAACAGTCATGCCACAGAAATGAGGATTAAGTGATGTAATTTTGTGCTGCAACAAGAGAAGTTCAGTCTGCTTCAGTCAACCAACACTTAACTGAAAAATGAGTAATTACAAAAGCAAGTTAACAAACAATGTAGTTCTAGTTCTTTACCCCCTTATGTGAAACCTTAAAAATACCAAATCTGTGTAGACAAACAACTGTTGCTTTTGAGGTGCTTTAGGGATATTACAAGAGTTCCTGCTGTTATATACTGCTTCATTTGTCTGAGTGGATTAAAGGAAAATGTCTATTGCAGTTTCTGCATTAGTGATTTCAGTAAGATTTTGCATTGCAGCTATGAACTATTTTGTTAGAAAGCTCTAGTTTTGCCTGTAGCTCTCAAAGTAAACTTAAATTAATAAAAATTAATGTACTATCATCACTCTACTGAAAAACACTTTCTCTTAAAATACTGCTTAATTAGAAGAACTTAAATATTCTAAAATATGTGACTGACTTATGCATTATATGTTGCTGGATTGAAAGATCTGGCACCAGTGCATGTTGATGATGAAAGATGACTTGTGCAGTGTTGAGAATGAATTTGTCTAGCTAAACAGTAACACATGGGCTTTCCTGGGTCTTTGAGAGACTATTGGAAATGTCATTCTTTGGTTCAACAGACATTTCAGCTAATGGTGTGTTTGTGGAGCTGTATTTCCACTGCTTATTCCCCGGTCTCATATTGTCCTGTCACCATTTCAGCATTCAGGCTTGTGAGAATAAATTAATGTTTACAGGTTGCTGGAAATAGCTGGGAGCATGGCTTGGTTCTGTGCTATGGAATGTGCCTTCAATATGTCAAAATGATTAAGAAGGTATTACTTACGCCTATTGAGGCAACAAAGCATCATTTCATTGAAAATCTGCTTCCCTGCTTCTACTGTTTTTCTCCCTTCCAGTTCTGGTGGGAATTTAAGCAAAACTGATCCCTCCTTGCACTTTCCTGTATAAAATATTTGAATATTACTAAGTAATTCCATACGTATCTGAAATAGTTCTAAACTCTATGGTGCTATGTAGGGGCCACTGAAAAATAAGGCCACTGTGAAAGCAGTATTCTTTTTCTCAATGTTGTATTTGTAAAGGCTTTAAAAGGGAAATGAAGATGAACTGTGCTACTCATACTTCTCTGTTAGAAGTTACAATGTTTTCATGCCTTACTGTGCATAAAACAAGATGGAAATAAAACTTTGTGTTCTGCCTGTTAGAAAAGGGAATGGTCTCCAGGAAAAGGAAATAAGTTCTGATACTACAATCCGGTTTCTATATTGGTAAACTGATTGGAATTCTCGAATTGGATTTTAATTGCTTAAGATATCCTAAGGAAGTTAGATAAATTTCTTTAAAGAGAAGACAGGTGCCTTGCATTTTCTGGTTAATGGTTCTGCATTTCAGAATTGCAGTCTGAGGTAGGCCAGAGCTGCTGAAGTTCAGAACTTGGTGTAGTCTAGCATAGCTATCTCTCCAGTTAACAATTCTAAGAACCACTGTAAGAAGTGATTCTCAGTATTTAATAAAAGAACCGGTCAACTTTTTTGTGGAGAAAGGGGGAATAAGTGGATCGTCTTGTACAGTTTTGTCACAGTTGTCTTCGTTTACAGCAACAACAAAGTGAAGCTAAACACTGAGAATTCAATAACTGTCACTTCTCTCCTTTTCATGTTTGCTTACATGCATGGGAAAGCGAGACGTGTATTCTTATAATGTTTTGCAGACTAATTCCTGAGGTTTTGTGAATTATGGATTGAGTATTATTGCTTTATAGAATCAAGAAGTCTTCAGTCCCACTCAGGGGTAATATTTAAGCAGCTGTTAAGATCTTCTGTGAAGACTGTAGCGCCAAAGATCTTATTTAGCAACTTTTTGGAAAGAATGAAATTGTTAACAACTAGAAGAAAAAATATCAGACTCTTTGAATTTTTTTATATGACAGTCAGCTGTGAAAAATTTGAAATTATAGCAGTTCTGATCTTATGATTAAAGAGAATTTTTATTAAAGAACAAGAACTTTCTGAAAATAAAAACGGAAATGAAATGTAATGAAAAGGAATGTTTTCACTTTTATAATAGGATTTCTTACGTCCTGTGACTGACATTTATATTGCTAATGGAGCAAAATACATGGGAAGGGGTTTGTTAAAATAAGTAAATATTTGCTCTGGGGAGCTGTACCGGATTATAAAGATGCCCTTTACTTGTAAAAAGGAGGCTATAAACTGTTCAAAGTATTCAGACTAAAGATGATGACTTCAGTAGAATGAATTTGTGTTTGTATATGCATAGGATTATGATCACTCAAAATTTTTACAGTGTTTGTGAAAACGAGCTTCTCTACATTTAGTATTAATTATGGAAATGTGAAGCTTAAGTAAGTTCTTCCTTGAAATGTTTTTACAAAGCTGTCACTGCATTGAGGTAGTCCATCTTTAGTATTTCTTTGAGAAGCCTCTGGAACCTGGGCTTTCTGAAAAAAAAAAAAAAGTAAGTTGGCTTTGGGTTTACATTTGAGACACTTTTTTGAACTACTAATGGGTAGATTGCATTTTAATCACTTGTAGGAAATAGCTTTGGCCAATCTGTTTCCTGGCAAGTGTGCAAGATGCCTGGACTGGTGCTGCTCAGCATGCTGGAACATTGGTTAGGTGCTCAAAATTTTACACTGCTCTGAAATACTAGTGTTTATATTATCCTACCAATTTATGCCAGCGTGGGCAAGAGGTAGAGCATGGGGTATTGAATAAAATGTCAAGAAAGGTAGAGGGTAGAAGGAAAGCAAGAATAATAGTGGGGGAGTGGGAATGATGGACCTCATTCTCACTCTTTCTGGTTTTTTTTTTTTTTTTTTTTTTTTTGGTGGTGGTGATCTTTTTTTTTTCCTTTTTTTTTTTTTTTTTTGTTGGTGGTGGTGAGCTGTTAATTGTAACTGTACCATAGTGTGAAATGACAGCCTCATTTTGTTCCTTTGTTGCAACTTCTGTACATTTTAAATTATTTACACTTTTTTATTTTAAACTCCGATGTAGATGTTCGACTGTTATTGAGATTGAGACCCTACTGGAGCCTTTGACAACTGATATTCTTCCAGTTACTTGTAAATGGTAGAAGGGAAAAAAGTTACATAAATGGCAGTGGTGTTTTCCTTTTCTGGAAGCATGGGTATGTTAGGTTGGATAAGAAAAGGTTGTCAGGTCACTGGTGGCAAGGGCTGAGGTTGTGCCCAAGAATTGAGACTGATGAGGATTATTTGGAATTTTACTCTTGTTACTTCTCAGTTTGAAAAACTCAATGGTCTCAACTTCTAAGAGGATGTATTCAACATCTCCGACGATAACTTGCTTCAGCTTTTGATTTTTGGCCACAATTAGGGTCAGGAGTGAAACTATTTTCTTTATTCCTTTTGGTTAAAGCATTCTGTGTGGTGTAATGAGTGTTGGACTCAATTGGACTTAAAGGAACATTTGCTAAACTTTCTGTTCAGTAATTCTGCAGTTCTCTTGTTCAGTAAAGCTTATTTTTATCCTTATTTGACACTTTAATTTCTGGACCTCATTCTGTAATCTTATCGTCTTGACTTTTTGTGTAATGCTTCCTAGAAGGCTTGCTGTCAAGTGTCCACCAAATTTTGGGGAACTGTTTAAGGGAGAAGAGACTGGAAGACTGGTTAATGCATGTCTTACTGTTTGACAGAAATACTCTTGCCTCAAAACTAAGCTTACTTTTTTAAAAAAAACACCACACATGGATCCATGACTCGCTCCTTTTTCACCTGGTCATATAAGTTACTGTTATTTTAGCGTTATGTGGTTTATCAATCTTTGAATACGTTCAGATGTCAGAGTTTCCTGCTTTTGATGTTTCCTTGTCCTGAAAGGAGTGCTATGTTGCCTTTCTTGACACTTTAATATGGGGCATTCAATATGAGAAGAAGATTCTGCTGTATAATTGTCTCTTTCCTTTTAGTGAACAAGAAATACTTACTAATCTGTTCCCGGTTTCTAGAGCTTGCTTAGTTTTAATCTATACTTCAAGAGTATTTTCCCCTGATGTGTTGAATGGTTTTCTATCACAGTAACAGGAGAATCATGGAATGGTTCTGAAGGTATTTTGGAATGTTTTCAGTCTGTTCTATACTTTATGTACTTTAAAAAAAAAAGAAAGAAAAAAGCTTTTTAAGGGACAGTGCTGTCATCTTCCAGATAAATACCGAAGCTTTTTATGTATGGCATGTAATTTGCAGCTCTCAAGGCACATTAAATAGTCTATGTGTGAAGTCAGTCACATAGTGAGCAAAGGTAATCCTTAAGCAGCACTCAGGAGAAGTAAATGCTGACATTTAAGGTGACAGAGCCCATCAAAGAGAATATGAAAACACAGGTGTGCTGTTGAGATTTACATTAATTTAGGAGATTAAAGCATTAAAATCTTACTATAAATGAGTAATTACAGCAATGATGCCTGACAGTTTCTGGCAGTAAAAGCCACTAATATAGATTTTTAAGATATTTAAAGGGAAATATAGTGAATATTTTAAATATTATAGTCATTGAAGAAAATATTTTAATCTTAATTAAGTTCTTCAGTATATGAAGGAATTATATAAAGTAAACGGTTTTGCAGGTAAGTGACACTTGGGCTTTAACTAGAAAGTAATTTTTCTTTCTTGCCACAAGCTGTGGGCCTCTGATGTTTTCCTTTGTTTAAGTTAGGAGTGCCTGATTTTATTTCTGCCAGATTGTGATACAAGACCTGTTTGGAATCAGGTGACATCATGCCCAAGCCTCGTTTTGTCATGTAACTTTATCAGTG